ACTTGCAGAGGATAGAGAAATTTGATAATATAGGTTGATGTCCTGTATCTTCACTGTGTTGGCGTATAGAGGAAACACGGGGGTTATTCAATTTTTTTTGTGTTTGAATGGAAATTCCCATATGTTCATAGGTTCTGACTTTTAAATGGCATTTGGTTTTGCCAATATAGGAGACCTTACAGTCTCCACACGTGTAAAGATAAAGACGCCAAGAACAATAAGGAATGGGGAGGAGATCTTTAGTAGGGAAGAAATTTTTTATGCGTGATGTGGATTTAAAAACTAATCTTAAATCCACTTGAGGGTAGTAACGACCAAATATGCGTTTAAGTTGATTTTTTAAATTTAAGCTTTGTTTGCCAGTATAAGGAAGACACGAGTACATAGTAAATTTATGTACAGTTGGTATCTTAATTGGATTTGTGAGTTTCTTTGTTAGGAAGGTGTTGGTAATGTTTTCTAATAAGTGTTGTAGATAGCTGTTCCGTTTCAGGATGTCATGTAAGAACGAAATTTCAGAGTGTAGATTAAGATATGTGGAGCACGGGTTGTAAGCTCTGTTTAGTAAGCATCTAACAAGGTTTCGTTTATATGTAAATGGGATAAAGCTATCAAAGTGTGTAAGGAGACCAGTGGACTTTTTTTTTTCCGGTAAATTGATGTGGAAAATCCATTAGCATTACGTTTAATGAGCATGTTGAAAAAGGGTAAATTATTATTATTTTCAATGTCACATGTAAATTTAATGGCAGGATGTTGTGAGTTAAGGTATTCTAAAAATTTTGATCACTGTTATTAAAAATAATAAAAGTGTCATCCACATACCTTCTGTATAGAACAGGCCTAAAGTTAATTGGACAGGTGTCAAGCCATTTCTGTTCGTAATAGGAGAGAAATGCATTAGCTAAAGTTGGACCTAGTGGGGAGCCCATCGCAACGCCATCTATTTGTTCATACAAGGTGTTATTGAACAGGAAATGTGAATTTTTAGTGGTAAGATCCAGCATGGTCTTAATTTGATTTTCAGAAAAGCCATTTAGAGGAATTTTATTACGCGAAAGCTCAGATATGCATATGTTAATAGTTTCATTTAAAGGAATATTTGTAAAGAGGGAGGTAACATCAAAGCTGGCCATGAAGAGATTATCTGAGGGGGATAGTTGACTTAGTTCACGTTCAAAGTGGAAGGAATCCGGGAGAGTATATTCATTAGTAGTGAGTGGCTGAAGTATAGGTACAAGAAATTTAGCAAGTTTGTAACCAGGTGTGCCTATAGTGGAAAGAATGGGTCAGAGGGGGGAACCTGTTTTATGAATTTTTGGAAGGCCATATAACATACTAGGAAGGGAGCCAGTGAGATAAAGTGAAGAAGGAACATTTTCAGATATAATATTTTTGTTCGTTAGTTCTCTTATGTATCTTTGGATTTTTTCCTCACGTTGGATGCTAACAGATAAAGGATCGTTGTTTAAGGAT